AAGATAATAATGAAATGTCTCAAAAAAAAAAAAAAAAAAAAAAAAAAAAAAAAAAAAATATGGAAAAAAAAAAAAAAAAAAAAAACAAAAGACCAGAAAACCAGAAAGATTGCCTGTGGAACACAGGGATAGTTATTACCTCAGGGAGTGAGAAAGAAGATGCAGGAAAACAGGGAGAGATAGATGCTGTGGGCAGTGGGCTAGGTTTTTGTGTTAAGGAAAATTTGTTTAACATTGAGAAGCAGATTGAAGTCTATCATTTTCCATGTCAAAGAATCAATGACAGCAAAATTCAACGTGCTAATACTCAACGTGGATGTGACAGCAAAATTCAACGTGTTAATACTCAACATGGATGTATCAGTGAGAGTCTGTGAGATTAGGGCCGAGGTCTTTCTAGAAGAGACAGCTGCTTCCCCTCAAAAAAATCAGCTCAGTTGTAGTTTGTTGTTTTGGTTTTTTGACACAGGGTTTCTCTGGAGCCCCATCTAGCTTAAAACTCCCTATGACCAGGTTGGCCTTGATCTCATAGAGATCCACCTGCCTCTGCCTCCTCAGTGCTGGAATTGAAGTCGTGTGCCACGATGCCTGGTTAGATACAGCTCAGAAACAGCTCGGTTGTCAAGATCTAGATGGGCTTTTGATTTTCCAAAGAGTCCCATGGGGAGGGAAGCCCACATTTGAACCTTTAGACTCCCAGACTAGTGCTCCAACTCTTCATCATTCTCCCTCCTTTGCAGAAGATCCTATTATCCAGAGCTTCTTGGCAGCTGATATTTTCCTCAAAGTGACTGACAAGGTACCAGCAGCACCGGAGAGGAGGAGGGTGAATCTAAGGAGTGACAGCACTTGCGTTGTTACCCAACCCAGAAGAGGCTTGTCCCAGGCTAGAAAAAGCCCTGTAGAGACCTGCTCTCACCCAAGGAGGAAGGACAGGCACACTGTCCATCCCTCCCCTATCCCCAAACTCCATCCTGCCATTCCCATCAGCTCATGTCCTCAAGGCAAGGCAATTCTGGACCCTCAGCAAATCTTCTAGTTGTTGGCATGGCAAATGGATGGGGAAGGTCCCAGGGATGATTAAGATCACTTGCCTTCTGTCCACTGCCCACCCCTCTCATCAACCCTGTCTCCACACAGTACCTCCTGTCCATGGTGGTGGAGTACTTCGGTCGAGTCGGACTGCCTGGACGTCTCTATAACAGGATCCACTTCTTCCTGGCCCTGTGAGCACCTCCTTGGGACCAACTCTCAATCTCTCAATCTTCCATCACTCTTCAGGGCTGTTGTGGGTATCAGAGTAGTGATTCTCAAACTCAGAGCTGCTGTGGTACAGGGAGGAAAGGGTCCTGAGAACATGAAAGTAGTTGAGAAATACCACTAGCCCACCCCAGACTGAGCTACCTAAAAGAAACAGCTGGAAAACAGAAGTTGCCTTTCCCAGGGCTGAACACAGAATGGGCATGGTAGGCTCAGTGTCAAAGATGCCTAGGAAGCCTGTAGGTACAGGTTACACTGCAGACTGCTTCCTCACACCCTGTCTCTTGGTCATGTGCTTCCATCATTGTAACCTCTCCCGTCTGCCCTGCCTGAGTTGGGAGTCATGGTTAAGGACAGGCACACTTTCCCCCTCCCTGTGGCAGCTACATCGCCTGTGACATGGAAGAGGATGACTCCATACCCAAGGGGAGCATCTTTCAGTTCTTGCTGGGCAAAGAGACTTGGCAAGATTTCTACAAGGAATTTCTGAAACTGAAGAAGGATTTCTTCCGGGCTATGGGACACCGAGACTGGGTCACCCCAGAGTTGTGTGAGGAGGTCTGTCAGGGAGACAGGCAGGGAGGTCTGGCAGGGAAGTTGTGGGTGGACAGGGGGATAACCCAGAGAAGAGCAAAGGCTGGGCTCATCCTCCCAGACTCTCATGTGCATTTCCCTATCAGATCCAGAACCAGAACCCACACCACTGGGTGTGGAGCCGGGTACGCCAAGGCACCCCTTAGGTTCCCAGACCTGAGAACCATCAGCAGGGTTGCAGAGCATGGGGCTGCACTGGTCCAGGTGAGTCAGATCCTGGCCAGGGGCTCGAAAGAGGTGAGTCACCTCTACCCTTGGGTCCCCGAAGCCACATCCTGTGTTGTGTGGACACAGGAGGAAGCTCTGCTGTCTCCTATCTTGGAATTTCTTCACACACTGAAGTGCAATGAGGGTTCCAAGCACTTCTGAGTTAGAGCTGTTAAAAGTCACAATTCTCCAACTGAATTTCATTGCAAGACCGTGTAATCTGCAATACAAGGTTTCAACTTGCATTATCTTTTTGTTTTAAGAAAAACTCTTAGAAATGCTTTTCAAGGTAACTTCTGCAGTTTGACCACAATT